AAACTTTGACTACACCTGTCTCCTACCCGAAATAATTGATGCTAGATACCCGAGGAAGATGGAAATCGCAATCCAGCACCCGAATAATTACTTTCATATGTGTAAATATCTGAATATTCGCCGTCGAAATTCTTATAGTTACTGGAGATTTTGTAAATAAACTTTAACTTAGAATGTCTAGTTTACTTTTAAGCCATATATTTAATACCTATTACTTTAAAAAACATTGCAAAATTTACTATTTATATAAAAATCCCGCAAGGCCTGAATGAAATAAAATCCCTTCCCTCCGACCATGAGTGCTAGCTGTGTATCGTAGTAAATGCGCTTGAACACGAAAAAGTCTTAAACGACATGCCCGTTCGTTGGCTTTGAAAATATCGCCTGCAAATTGGAACTTGCCGTACGAAAAGTTTGACCTAAACTCTTTCGCATTCATAAGCCCCCCCCCCCTTAGTTTCGACAAAAATTTTGAGGTTACTGCATTTCTGCAACGCCGGTGTACATAGAGAGCCGTCTTAAATCCTTTTGTATTAACTATACAGTAATAAATTACGTTAAAAATATTAACGTTGCAGTTTTATTTATTTTTATGATTGTAACATAAGATTTGGTAATTATTTTTTCCCTTTGCCCTTCATTTGGGGTTAATAAACATCAAGAGTGGAATAATTATCGGTTTTACATTTAATGCTAACATTAGTGTCATACGTTTTTGGACTCCTGTCACTTTTATGTACATGTGTTTAAATAACATCCTGTATATAATGAACAGTTATAAACATTTAGTTACTTAGCATAGTTTTACGCTATTCCGATAATGGAAAATTTATTTGACACAGTTATTATTATTTTATAAATAATTTTATGAAGCTTACCAATGGGGATTAATAAAAATTAATGGTGTTAATTTCGTGGTTGTTTTAGACATTTTTTAATTTCTTATATTCCTCTAATAAGCTACACAAGGAGCAAATAAATCATTTCAACCCATTTTTATATTAACCAATATCACTTACCTCCAATCCCATTTTAATCTTTATTTACTCGACACGTTAACTTGAAAACTAAAATAAAAATAAAACAAATTAGTATTTGCATTATTTAACAGCAGAATACTTATCCTCTGTTTCTTTGAGACTCCACGTGTAGCGTGTAACTGATATCAATCAATCGATTTTTATCTTTAACGATCAGTTTTTCTCTGTGAACGACTCAGTTCTTTCAACTGGTCACTGGAAAGAAAAATATCGCACGTCAGAAATTTCAAATTAAATGAACGGGAAAATATTTGAATACATTTTTACGAATAATAATCGGTTTTTATTCATACAGGTTTACAATAAACAATGTTTGTCAAGTAACAAAAAAATGTATATGTTCTGAAAGAAATGGCGAATAATACGGCGTATGGATCAGTAAAACTTTGTGTCCCACATAAGAATGTAAAGCATGGGTTCTCATAAATTGTCAGGTATTACAAATTTGGTTAAATGGGATAGAAGTTGAGCATGTTTCAAGTTATTAACAAAAATTATTTCTTAGATTTTTGTTTTTTTATTAAATATAAATATATATATTTATTAAAATAGCATAAATATTAAGATTTTTTTATATTTATCAGTAGTACTTTAATATTACCTACTGAAATAGGTAACGAAGCTTTTCGTTTTTGTGGAACCACTGACATGTTAATTATTTTAAATACAGACCTTGAATTTGCAGTAAATTATGTAAATAAATTATTCAAAGAAGAGAAAAAGCAATAATGAAAAGTTAAGAAAAGAATGTAGAGAATAACAAATTCACCAAACACAAAATACGTATGTAAAACAAAACAGACTTGAGAATTTTACAAATACTTAAAAAGATGATTGATGATTGAAGAGATGGGCTGAGTACTTTAAAGATGTCTTTGAAATTGGAGAAAATGAGGTAACTGAAATGATTGTTGAAAATAATTTAGAAATAAACAATCAAGAACCATCAACAAAAATAATTTGGCGATAAATCTGATCGAACCACATGTAGAGATTCAAGAAATTCTGTCACTGTCTGTGAATTGTGACTTGGTCAACCGTCTTGCTAAAAACAAATGTGTCTAAACAATATGTTCTTGAAATAAATTAAGTATTTAGCACAGGTTAGCTTCAATAAAAAAGGAACCTACAGGGTGACAAACGGGAACCGGATGTTTTTGGAACGCATAGTAGAGCTTACCGCGGTTAGAGGAGAGTAATTGCGATGTTACAACCTTTTTAGTGTTGTGCCATTTCACTAACAATGGCACAATGGATAGTAGAGCATCGAATGTTTGCATACGACACGGTTATCCGAAATGGTGAGCCAGTGATAACTACACAGCGGCTTTTTCGCATTCATTTTAATATTGCTCGACGGTGAGCCGTTCCGTCTTGCAACACTATCATAAGATGGGTCAATAATTTAAAAACAACCTGCAGTATAATGAAGAAAAAGTAACAAGGTCCACAACGTACTATGAGAACCCCTGAAAACGTAGAGCGAGTGAGAGAGTCGTTCATCAGAAGTCCTTCACGGTCCGCCCGAAAACATGCAATGGAGTTAAACATTAATCGGAAATCGGTTAGGAGAATCTTGCATAAGGATTTAAAATTCCACCCCTACAAACTACAGATTGCTCAGCAATTAAAGGAAAGAACTTTTGAAACTCGTGAGGATTTCGCTACGAGAATGCAAGTGATTTTGGAAGACAATTTAGGTCTGCAGCTTCTAATGAGCGACCAAGTTCATTTTCATTTAGATGGATCAGTTATAAACAGAACTTCAGGTAGTGGGCTCCTGAAAATCCACGAAATATCCATGAACAACCTCTTCATTCTTCAAAAGTCACGGTGTGGTGTGCCATTGGTTCTAATTGCATTATTGGTCCCTATTTTTTCGAAGAGGCCGGGCGTACCGTCACCGTTAATTCTAACCGCTACGTTCAAATGATCCAAAAAAAATGTATGCCAGATTTACGCAGAAAACAGATAAATCCAAGGAATGTGTGGTTTCAACAAGATGGCCCACGGCACATACTGCCAACGCATCAATGAATGTTATCCGCAACATGTTCCCAGATGTGCCGTGACCCCCCAAGGTCTTCAGATCGGTCAATTTTAGATTTTTTTTCCTGTGGGGGTATTTGAAGAATTACAAGCCCCGTAATTTGAACCATATTATCTTGCAAATTCTTTATGTAACACTTATTTCAAAATCGTCCGTTTCCCGTGTGTCACCCTGTATGATACGGTCGTCAAAAATTCCCGTGTAAACATTTAATTTCTGTGGACGTTGAGTACTCACAGGATGTATTGTTTTCTATGCAATGAAAACATCTGTAAATAAAATGTTTATTAAAAAAATTTAAATTGTCATTGCACTTTTTCATCATTGTTTCACAAAATTCCATCCTGGAAAAATTTCCTAAGTTCTTAAGTTTATAATAAGGGTAATACTTTCTTTTTCAAATATTCCATAAAGTTCATTCATTCATCTTAACTTGTTCTGCAATTTGAGTACTAGAAAATAGTTCAACCATTTCAACAATGGCACAGATATTTATTTCCCTATTTTCACTGGCTTTACATGTGATTCTTCATCGACGTTACTGCATTTTCAACGCTTCTAATCGTCTATATTTTCAAAACTTTTAAATAATCCAAACAATTGTGAAATTTAACGGAATTGCCTTGTTTTCAAATGCAGCAACAAAATTTATTGTGTCTTCCTCTTTTTAATTTATTTTTAAATGTTATACATGCTTTGTTGGTGATCGCTGACTGAAATGAAATTCATGTATGTGACAAGTGGGACAACAGGCATGCCTAGGTTACATGCATGTTGTTATTATTATACCTTGTCGAATTCATTGTAAATAATTGAAATATCTGTATCTGCATAAGGAACAAGACATTATAGAAGTAAGAAAAGGGAACACGCATTAAGACAGTTGAATCATGTTATCAGAACCGGATGTAGATCCCGAAAAAAATATATTGTGAAGGAATATATAATAATAAATCTGTATTGGTCCTTTTTATCACTATACAGTGATGTCAAGATACATGTAGTGGACAAAACAAATCAAAACAAAACTGGAATGAAATTACAAGACACACAGAGAACTAGATGGGATATAAAGTGATCATAGAATTAGAGAGGTGTAATATCACAAATTAGAAAAAAACATTAAGGAAAATTAGAGATGCGTACATCGAAATGGGGCTATTATAACTCTTCCTATTTTCACAGGACTCGTAACAGTTTTGTATGTAACAAATGTGATGTAAATAACTCTCTAGTACGTATTGCAGTTAATACTATGGCACTATCAAAGTAAAAAAAGTTAATTACAATATAAATATGCCCTTTTAGGGTTCTACCAACTGTTTGGCATGAAAATATGCCTTAAATTATAAACCATGTAATCATACAATAGTAATTCAGTATTGACCGTATTGAACCAATTAAGACATCCTCATGCTCTGCATTCTTATATTGTAGCTTGCAAAAGAAAATTATTTAATATCCAGTGATAAAGAATGTGTTTGTTTAGTGGTAAAAAGCTTTCAATTTAGTTCGTTATTATATAAATCCCAAAAAATGTATTCAAACATAAGGACAAAAGATATGATTAATGTCGTTTTTCCCACTAAAAATACCTTAATAATTCTCAACCCAGCGGTTGTAGCCGTGTTTCTCCTCAATTCAATCCTTCAAAGATATTCTGTAACAAAACAACAATATACTAATATGAGCAAAGAACGGTCAACATACACATTAGAAAACGGTATCAAACATCTAAACGGTCAAAAATTTATTGAATAACTTTTGCTCACAAAAAAACAGTTACAGCATCTTAACTATTATGTACAGGCAACGGCTTAACAGTTGTAAATTGTAAAGTGTGTATTGTAGAAAAAAATATCTAAAGCATTTGGTTTTCCTCATATGTGTTTACCTCTCTAAACCATAATTTAGATTTTATCCTGTATGAACGGGTGCGTTAAGGCGTTGTTGAGACTGATCCTCTTGGCCGGATCGATGGCCAACGCTTTCTCCAAAAGGTCCTTGAGCTGAGTAACTTTACGTAGTTGATCTGTAGGCAAGCCTTGGCCGGCTATTAGCTCGGATTGCAAGTCGCGCGACACCTTTACCACAGACATTACTACCACTTTTTCCTGAAGAAGAGAACATATTTAGAAGACAGTTAGCTACAGATAGCCTTCAAATTTAAGGAGCAAACATGATACAAAAAAATATTTTATTGTCTCACGGGGATAAAACTGATTACCAATTGTGGGAACTTAAACCTGGATATTATTACCATTTGTGATGGCGCAATGGGAAAAGAGACATTATCTTCAATGGTTTTTTATTTATTTACGGGCAAAGCCCAATTCGGTTTAAATACAATAAGATATGATGAAAAATAATTCACATAACATATTCGTAGGATTACATAGCAAATTGGTAGGATAAAACAGTAGACACTAATGTACAAAACAGCAATTAAATTATAATAAGTGCAAATAAAGAATATGAGATTACAAGTGATGTTCAAATATTCAGTGTAAGTGGTTCTTAAATAACCGAACATAACTATAAAAAAGTTGAATATCATTAAGAGAATTAGCTAGTCTAAGTGTTCTAGGAATGATTGTATTAAAAGCATAATGGTATCTGTGAAAAGGCACATGAAATGTTTGAATTTGTCTAATAGTATGTGACGACACAAAAAGATTGATTCTGGTAAGGAGGTAGAGGTAATTACATCTGCCATTGATAATATTGGACAATACGGTAAGATATTTTCGCTTCCTATGAAATTCCAGAAATGGTATGCTTAAATATTGTTGCAATTCCACATAATTGTAGTAAATGTTAAACTTAAATGCTAAGTATCCAAGAAAACTATTTTGAACTCCATCCAGTTTATGTTTGACTTAGATAATGTGGGAACCAGACTGACGAGCAATAATCAAGTTGTGGCCTAACCAAAGAATTTTGTAAAATTATCTAGTTTTGTACCCCAGATAGTTAAAAAATCTTTTAAATTTACCTTTCCAAAGCCACTATCTCCCTTAATATGCATTTTCGGGCACATGTTCATATAAACATGTTTTTATGTTATGAGTATTACCGTTTTTCAATGACAACCTGAATAGCCAGAGTAGATATTTTCTGGAGAAAAGCATTTGCTCGGCTGTTTTCAGTGACACAGACTTTGAGTAAGGATAATCTCCTGACCTTAGTAAAATTTTATATAAATGAAAAGTTCCTTGGTTTTTTCGGTCAAATAGTTTTAATTTTTTTTTATAATTTAAGCACTACATATATATTTTTCGGAAAATACAATTTTTTCATCTTCTTGTGAAGTCTATAAAAATATGATTTGAGTGTTTCTTCTCTATTTACAACTTGGTCATATTTGAATTTGGAATAATTTTTTCTTTTTTAGATTTGATTTGAAGCTTTTTTAAAGTTTGACATTTTTTAGAAATAAAATGAATATGGAGACGTAGTGAAAAATTCTTTAACTAACAAATGTTTTTTAATTACAAAAAAAATCCTTTATTATTCAAACAGTCCAATGGCCCAATTACAGGATAAAATTTAGTTAGGACCACTACTTAAGTATTTTGTTAATATTATGTTATCATATCATGCATGTATATTGTATATATAATAAAATTTAATATAGATGTAAATTTTCACAATTTGTTACACATGTCAAATAAAATAATATAAAATATCATTCTCTATAATTTTTTTCCAAAACATCATTACTCTATAATGGATGTAATAGAAAAATTTGAGGAAAAGGAAAATTTTAATTTTTTAGTATTTTCATTGGCAATGAATATATACTCTTCATCTAGAGAGAGAATACTAACCTAGTATTTATAGTTTACCCTCTAGAACAGGCCTGCACAACATACGGCCCGCCTATGTCAAACTATACATTTTTCAGTATCAAAATTGCAGTTAGGCATTAATTGCCTTTTTTAGGAGGTCGATAGAAGGTCCTGGTTCATTATAAGGTGATGACCTTTTTTTTTGTTTTTGAACTGGCTCTTTGAAAATCTGAGTTGTACAGGCCTGCTCTAGAGCGTTCTGAAGAGAAGCACAAATTAAAAGTTGTTGGGCACTGAAGTTTTGCAGGCATACTAAAATAAATGCTCTGATGAACATATCCAAATTAGGATAAATTTCTGATTGACTTTTGGGAAGCAAGTTTTCCAGGGAAATTATAAGTGAAACAAAATAGGGGTAACTTTGATGAAATGTACAAAGAAGAGCTGATTTTGAACGTACTCGCCATTTCCTTCACAAGCTGTCAATTCAAATAAAAAACTAATGTAAAGTGTATTTATTCAGGTAAAATGCATTTTTTTAAAAATTTCAATACAACCATCCATTCAGCCTAAAGTGCTCGCGAAATGTAAGCATTGCAAAACATGGGGGTAACCTTCAACCAAAAAAATTCTCTTCAGAATGCTCAAGAGGGTAAACTGTAAATACTAGGGTAGTACTCTCGAGGAGTTTTTGTCCCAAATATTCTCTAGATAAACAAGAATTTTGCACAACGTCCTCAATACCCCTAAAAAATGCAAGCTAGATTAGCCCAGGAGTAATTGAAAGGCGAGCTTTATTATAATGTTTCATAGGTAACCCCTTCTCTGGGCGTTTCATTGCTTGTGCTATAAATTAATCACTAAGTGCTGTATTGTGAAGTATCTATGTACAAGGTAGCCCCTTATCTGGGCGTTTCATTGCTTGTGCTATAAATTGATCGCCCAGCGCTGTATTACGAAGTATCTATGTACAATGATAAAACAGTCAATTGATATTCAGAAACTTAAATGACCGTATTCGCCCCCTATATGTGAGACCAATGGCTGAGTACCGTCAGTTCGCAAGCGTTGCTACTCCTATAATATTCCTTTATTCAATACTTTATTAAAATTTTTCATAAATAAATGTACTTTATTTTCTGGCCTATATTCAGTACTTTTACTTATTTTTATTAAAATTCATAACATTTTGTTTGAACATATATTGTTGAGTACAATTCAACTTGATTACACAATTTATTGAATTTGTTACACATTTTATTAGTTATGAGTACAAAATACCTCTCATTTTTTTGGTCCTGTGGGGATAACATACCTTTTCTCTTACACCATCACATTTAATTAAAATAAGGTACCAAAATGAAGTTACTTAAAAAAATATTTTTTTATATGCTCATCGTTTTAGACTTACCAGGGCTATAAGAACTTCATGTATTTAAATATAAAATGGGGTAAGTAAATCAAAAATTAATTAAAGTTTTTGCAAAGAAGGACATTCATAGGCAACCTAATTACGATTTATTCGTTTTTGCACTGGATGAACTGAAAAAAGAGAGGACAAACTTTTAATCTTCATAAAAGTTTTGCTTGTTACAAAAATAATAATTCAAACAGAAGTTGAATATCTCCTTGCTTTAGTCAAATAATGACAATTTTTACATTTTTGTCATTATTTTATAAAGCAAAGAGATATTCAACTTCTGTTTGAATTAGAAGAAATAAACAAGAAGACATGTATCACATAATACGAGCACCGTTTCCTTTCAGGAAACAACTATTCCTTTGGCTAATACCGCAACAGGTATTAAACTATATCCAAAGGAAAGACTGCAGAGATAGAAGCTAAATTACAACACTCTACCTTTGATTGTTTAATTATTTTAAGTCTTGGTCAAATTTGAGTTGGAATTATTTTCCTTTTTTTCTCTTTGAATTAATAATATTTTCGAAATTAGCAAAAACTTTTATGAAGAATGACATTTTCGCTAAAAGTTGAAACAAAAATGTTTTGCTCTTTTTTCAGTGCACATTATCTTTTGTTTAATAAAAATAACAAATGAGAGAAGAACTTTCTAAAGCCTGTAGTCCTACTATAATAATAAGATGAAGTACAAAATTAATGAAAGTGCATTAAAACAGTATATCTTGAGTTCTGGTATATACATACAAAACAATAATCAGTATTTAAAATAACTTACCCGCTCAGTGACCTTATCTATCTCATGGTACAAAAAATTGTAGTTGCTATCAAAATGTTGTTCTTTAAAAGCTCCTTTTCGTATGACTTTATTGGGAAACTTTCCTTTAACATCCATGAAAAATTTCAACATTTGGTTATTACTCTTGCCAGAAAACATTATTTTACCCGTATATAATTCGTAAATGGTACAAGCGGCCGACCACATATCAATGCCATAATCATAAGTCATACCAAGTATGATTTCGGGCGATCTATAAAATCTGGATACCAAATAAGGAGTGATTTCGTTTTCGTTAATTTTTGAGGCGGAACCAAAATCGCAGAGTTTTAAGAGGTGCTTGCTTTCATTTACTAGAATATTGTCGGGTTTTATATCTATGAAAAAAAGAAGATTAATCATGTATTTTACCCTCTATATAAAATATTAGTATACAGGATGTTTCAGTTTTTTGTAGCAGGACTTTAACACTCAATATACCTTTTAAAATTTATACAAATTTAAATAAACATAGGGTAACAATGCTTAGTTTTGAATTTAATTTTAATATATTAAGCAGGTTTCTTTTTATCTACTTTGGTTTTATTATTATACATATAATATTCCGAGATGTTGTGGTTTTAAGAGGACTAGTTAATATGCAAACATTTCAAAAATAACAATAAAAAAAATAAGCGAAACTGTAGGGATCCCTATTAGTTAAAACAAAAAATAATGTTTACTAACCTGCATGAAGTATTCCAGTTTTCTTTAACAACTTTAGTGCCAACAACAGCTGCTGAGTGTAACTTCTCACTGCTTTTACATGCAGTCCAACATCTTTACCATATTTTTTCAGAACTTCTCTCAAATTCATCGCCAGAGGTTCAAATACCATACAAAGATGCTGTTTATGGAAGAAGTGTCTAATCAACCTCAGACAATGAAGTTTGTCTTCTGGGTCAGCATCATTAAGTTTTTTCAAGATTTCCAGTTCTTTGAGACCAGTTTTGTGCCTGAAATATTTAACATTTTTCAGAATTATTTTGGCATAAAAGTGTAATACATTGTTGGATAGGGACAAACTAGTTTCACAAAAAAACTTACATGATTTCATTATTTCTAATGATTTTTACAGCTACATCTTGATTACCTCTCGCTTGGTCTCTAGCCCTGATAACATTACTGAATACACCTTGACCTGTATACCCGTACACCATATACCTTGAATCCAATATTTCTCCAATTCTAACTCTATAGTATCCTTCTGCATCATCCCAATTATCTGTAAGTGCTGGATTTTCAGCACCTGATCCTTTCGTCGTAATAGTATTTGGTGACTAAAAAAAAAAAAAAAATCCTAAATAACTCAGCAATATAAAATAAAATGCACTTACAGAATTCATTTTGAAAAGATCCTGTTCTGAAAACATGTCCCAACCAGATGTAACTTTAGATTTACCATCTTTTTCATTTTTCTTATCACCAGAACCTAAAATGGGTTTCATATTTGGCAAAAGAGGTGGCGTCAAAGATTCTTCTTGTTTTTGGTCATCATCTTTAGGTTTATCTTTAGTTGGTTCAATTTTCTCAGGTTCTTCTTGCTTTTTGGGTTGTGCTGTTTCTTTTTTGGCAGGTTCAGGTTGTATTATGGTGGGCTCTTCTATAACTTGAACATCTGGAGATTGACATGAGTCCATGCTTCCTTCATCTTGATTTTGTGGGTTTGCTCCTAGGCGCTGAAAAGTAATAAATAAAATATTACGACTTCATATAAATATAAATTATTTTCCTAATCATATTAATAGTTATTTTATAATACAGTATATTTAGACAACTATTTCGCCTAGCTTTAACAGTAAGTTTTCCCTGAATTTATATAGGAAAACCCTTTTTATTACTTGGGTTTACCTTCAAAAGTTCTTCTCTTTGCTTTCTCCTCTTCTCGATAATAGCTTCTTCATCTTCATCATTCAAATCAATATCTATCTCAACATCACTATCGCTAGACTCTTGTCGCTTTTGTCCTTCACTCAACGAATCCTTGAACTTATCTTGTTTTTCTTTGGATTTGGAATAATCTTTAGATCTGCTATCTTTGTATCTATCCCGGTAACTGTAACTCCTTGAATCTCTTCTGTCTCGGGAATCATCTCTTGATGATCGGTGTCGCGAGCTTTCATATCGTGAACGTGATCGTTGATCCCGTTCTCTTTCATTTCTGGACCTATTTCTGTCTAGTTCGCGATGATGTCTAAGAAAAAAATATATAATTTTATGGGCATATATGTATAGATCCATAACAAATACGATTCATTGTATATGTACAAGAATTAAATGGTATTGCTAAAGATAAGAGGGCTATACATACAAGAGGTTTTTGAAATACATGTATATTAAAACTTGTAAGACCATAGAATATAATGAAGAACAATGGTTTTATTTATTTATTATATTAAACAGTAATATAATTAATTATCTATAGGAACAAGAGAAAATAAATCACTATATTACTTAACTACTTAATTCCTAAATTGAGGTCACCCTCTAAATAATATTTAAAATGAAAACTTCTACTCTACAATAACCTGATAGCAATAATACTTGTAAAGTCTGATATGCTTCTCTTTATAAACCCAAGCATACCAAGTGCTCTAGGTACTATTGTGTCGATGTGATTGACAAATGAGAGGGAGTCCATAATAACACCCAGATCTCGAATGGATGCAACTTATTTATTAAACCTAACCTAAGTCTGCCTTTGGCAAATATTGAATTTGATTTTGTAATATATTTCTGTGTATTCTGTTTTTTGTTCTTTACCAATAAAAGCTTTTATTATTAGTATTATTTACACATAGTGAGAAAGTTTAAATATCTAAAATATAACAATTAGTTGTAGTAGAATAAGAAAATAATAATTTGCAAAATGTAGTTATCATATCTTAAAGCTGATTGTATTAACGATTTAAAAATTTTAATTGATCAAGTTTCTAATGAGAAAAGATTTGTTTATTTATTTATGGGTCTTGCCCATTTTCAATACAAAGTTACAAAAAAAAAACCTCAAATAGAGTCAATCTAAATAATGTCATAATAATGATAAACTAATAAACTAACAACAAAAATCATAAATATATTAACATATACAAAATCGATACAACTAATATTAAGACTAGGAAATTTAAGTCAGTAAGTTTTAACACCCTCACAAAATTAGAAAAGCTTGAATTAAAACATTCTAGACTATCAGCACAAGCATTAGCGCTTCGTGAAACTCTAGGCATGAATGAATTGAGGCCAGTATTAGTTCTCATGTAGGGCTGATAAAAACTGTTTATTGATCTTGTGCTTATAGTTGGTGCTGCCAACAACATGCTTGAAATCAATGTAAGGCAGTCAACTATATAATTAATGAGCTTAAAAAATAATTTCAGATCTGCCTGATCTCTTCTTATTATCAAAGTTGGTAAGAAGAATGTCTGTTGCAGTGCCGCTAAATCATAGGAATAGTCATCTATGTGTGGAATATTTGATTTAATTGCTACGTAGCGAAGAAGTTTTCTCTGAACCTGTTCTAATCTATGAATGTGACAAGTATATTTATTTATTCACGGGTAACCCCATTTAAAAAAAAATACAATATTAAGTAGAATAAAAACAGTAAAATAAATACTGAACTAAATACTAAACTAATACTAATATAGGTAATATAAAATACAATACAAAATATAACGGCATCAAATAACAATTATAAAATCAGTTAGAAAATGAAGACAAAATGTTAGACTTCCATATTATTTAAATAAGTCCTGAGAGCATTGATAGTTCCAAAAATATCACAATTTTTACATTTCAACTTATTACATTCATGTAACAATTGACTTACTGGTGAATTAAAAGCATAATTAGTGGTATGTAGTGGTATATTAAATAAGTCGAATTGTCTAGTCCTACTAAAGGTATTAAAATTAATAAGATCTACTGCTTGGGGAGAATCAATATTCCCTGTTAACAATTTATTTATAAAAATTATATCAGAAACTGTTCTCCTAAAGTCAAGTGATTTTAAGTTTAATTGAGAATTAATTGAAGCATATGAGTAATCTCCTCTTATATAACCCATTTTATAGGCGCATATTCTCAAGAATTTATTCTGAATAGTCTCAATTTGATGCTTATAAGTATTGTAATATGGGTTCCAAACTGGGGGTTCCAGACTGAAGAGCAATATTTTAGCAGAGGTCTAACAAGATTACAGTACAATAACCTGATAGCAATAATACTTGTAAAGTCTGATATGCTTCTCTTTATAAATCCAAGCATACCAAGTGCTCTAGGTACTATTGTGTCGATGTGATTGACAAATGAGAGCCTGGAGTCCATAATAACACCCAGATCTCGAATGGATGCAACTTGGGACACTGGTGTACCCTTGATATTATATTGATAATCAACCCTGTTGATCTACCTAGTAAAGGATATTGAGTGACACTTAATGATGTTTAGGTCCATAGCATTATTCACACACCACTTATCAAGGTCATCAGCAAGGCATAAAAATTTGGCAAACTTGAAACAATCTGAGATATCATTTATAAAAAACAAAAATAACAAAGGTCCTAGATGGGACCTTTGGGGACACCAGATGGATTGGGAATGTTTTTAGATCTGTAATTATTCAATTTAACAGTTTGGAATCTTTCAGATAAATAACTCACCAGCCATTGCAATAATGTTCCCATGATCCCAGCAGTCTCTAGTTTATTTAACAAAAGTTTGTGATTGACCCTGTCAAATGCCTTGGAAAAGTCTGTGTATATGGCATGCACCTCACCACCTACATCCAATAGGTCTGACAGATAGAGTCGACAAAAGCAAGTAAATTCAGTTCTGTGGATTTTTTGTTAAGAAACCTAAATTGTTCTTCTATTATTGATAAACTTACTTTAGATCTTAAGTAATCAGCTACTATCTTTTCAAACAACTTTGGAATGGAACTAAGATTACAGATGGGTCTATAGTTGGATATGTCAGCTGTGTTACCAGACTTGAAAATAGGTGTAAGATAGCTCACTTTCCAGAAATCTGGGAATATGCCCAAAGCAAGAGACTTATTAAATATAATATGAAGTGGCTGCGTGAGAACAAAACTACAAAATCTGAGAACAGAAGGGGTATACCATCAGGTCCTGGTCTCTTGGTAATATCAATACTAGTCATCTCTTCATAAATGGTTGATATAGGAATCACATACTCAGATATAGAAATGTGATTAAGTTTACTTTGAGGATCAATATTCTTATCAGTATATACTGACTGGAAGTATTCTGCAAAAAGATCAGATAAATCTGGTCCCAAATGACATTGACTATCATTAAAGAATAGCAATGGTGGTAAATCATTCCCATTCCGCTTTCTCTTAACAAAATTCCAAAACTGTTTTATGTTTCTATGGTCTGTTAAAGAAGACTCATGACGAAGCTGCCCCTTAATATATTGCTGCAATTAAGTTTGTACTCACCTATCTCTCCTTTCCTGTTCCCTATATGAATACTCTCTGCTATGACTATTCTTCTTTCTAAGATCTTCTTTGATTTTAACTTCAGTTATTTTCCTTTCTCTGCTCCTCGATTTCTTTTTTATGACAGCAACAGGTTCCTGTTCATCAGAATCATCATCCAGTAATATAACTTCTTCTAGAACCTTCTCCTGGTTAGCAATTTCAAGTGGAGAGGTAAAACCACTAGCTTTTGCTAGCTGAGCTTGCAATAGTTCTTTCTGTTTCATTAGGTCTTCGAGATCCATATCTGCTTCAATGACACTCATATCAATATCAACACTGTCACAATCAGCTTCTGGTACAAATTCACTTTCAGAAGAAACTGCTTCCTGCTTGTCGTCTGTTAGCCCCGTGGATATATAATCGGTGAGTATAGCGGGATCAGTCTGAATAGTGTCCACAGATTTACCATTGACGACCCCATTATTTTCATTGACTGGCGTGTATCTACCATTTGTGTCCGACGGTAAATCTTGATCTTTAGATTTGTGTTTTTTATGCTTTTTATGTTTCTTACTTTTATCTTTCTCCGTTTTCTCCGAGCTATGCTTCTTATGTTTGTGTTTATGTTCCTTCTTGTGTTTCTTTTTGGAAGATAAGCCGTCAGAATATGAATCATCTTTTGATCTAAAAAGTATTATTGGATTAAAAATGTACGGTCCTATAGTTCTTTTACTTACAAAGAGTCCATTTTAATTAACTTTTATTAATAATTATAATTGTATTGAAAGAAAAATTCCAACTTTCTTGACGTCAACTCAACGTTAAAAGACTGATTGACATGACAATTGACATTTATTTTTCTTTTGACATATATCTGCTGTCAACTGAGATTTTTCATAAGTTCCGATATTTCAAATATGTTCCGTAGTTTATTGTTAGAAGTTCCACCAGTGGAACATGAACACTACTCGATCCACATACTTTGATTGAAAATCAAAGTATGTGACACGATCCCACACGCGATTCTGCTGATCTAATCACCTCTGCGATGTTTAGCGGCACTACAACGCATGAGCATTATGGAGCTGTGGAGAAAATCCATTGAAAAGATTGAAAATTACACATCTGCATTATTGGTTGCCTATATCAATTATCAGGACTGGATCGCCTCCTCCGCCAGCCTATTTTTTATTATGATATTCTCTTATCTTGACCTTGATTACCTACTCTAAAATGAATCTTTATGAAGCTGTAGTGGTTATATTCTGTGATTTGGCTAAGGCATTTGATTGTGTCAATCATACAGTATTGTTGCAAAAAACTTAGAGTTTGTGGAATCAAATACGAAACGATGATAAAATCCTATCTTTCAGAACGTAAGCAAATAGTAAGTGCAGTCTTTCGGATTAAAAATTTTATGAGTATTTCCAGGTAAGTACCCGAAAGTTTGGCCTGTTCTTTGGGGAAATATCAACTGGTTAAATGAAATGAAAAATAATGTACAACTTTTTAATTAAATAATAATGGAGAATCTTTTGTATAATTGAGAGCAGAATTAAACTTCTTCATTAATGGAGTCTAATGTGGCTATTATAAACCTAATAATAATTTTATATTACACTTCACACAGAAAATATGGTCTATGTATAATAAGAGGATTATTTAGCTCAAATAAAATAATTTCTAACATAAAAATTTGTTCCATGTAGAGAATTTCAAATGAAAAATAAAAAAAATTGAACTTGCCAACAAAAATGAAAATCAGACATTATCATCCACAATATCATAATCGTCATCATCATCACTGTCATCACCATTAATTGTTATGATTGGACTTATTTCGTTTATTTTATTTTCACGGGTCCACCAATCTTCTATTAGTTTCTCGCACTTGGATATACAGTTCCGCCACACTTCTGAAGTTGCAATTGAAAGTGCTTTTCGCCAAGTTTCCCGAACTGCGTCGTCACTATAACCATTAGGCCCAATATGGTTGTCATAATATTGTTTTGCTATTTCCCATATATATTCGATGGGATTAAACTGGCAATGATACGGTGGCAGACGTAAAACTTGATGACCGTAACTTTCAATAATCTGATCCACAACAAAGGTTTTTGGTTTTGCGTGTATATTTGCCAAGCGTAATAATTCTGATTTTAATATATATTGAGGAAATCGTATATGTTCCTTTGTCAACCATTCTTTAATTTTATCAACAGTCCAAGAATTCGTTGGACTTTTGTTTAATACTTCAGAATGGTAAGGTGCATTGTCTAAAATAATTACGCTGGGCTCGCTTAAACCTGGGAGAAGTTTTCCATGCAACCATTTTACAAACATTTCTGTGTTCATATTATCGTGATAGTTACTGGATTTTGATTTAGATGAAAATATTAAATCAACACCTTCCCGATTTCCCTCCTGCATGTAGAATTATGTGTCGCTTCCCTTCTCCATCGGTATGTTTGATGGACTTTACGTTATCATCTTGCCATATTCTCTTGGTTGCACCCCTAGAAAATATCCATGTTTCGTCTAAATATATAAAATTCGCCCCTTCTTCTTTAAATTTAGAATATTTTCTTAGAAAGTTAATTCTCTTGTGCACGACAGAACTTCTTTCACAAAGGGCCTTTCTGTTATCCTCCTTTTGAAATTTGAAACCCAAGTTATGTATCACTTGCCATAGACTTGTTCTGCCAATGTCGTCAAATTTTCTATCTATTCATTTCGAGAGAATTGTATTTAAGGTCACATGTTCCTTGTTGGCCCTCATTCGATAAATGGTATTACGAATTTCAAATTTCTTTCCATCTGGAATATCTTTCGTTTTCAATGATGGGCGAGTTTTGCGGTGATCTTTTTTCGGCAGTTCACTATGTGATTTTGTAATACTCCTCTTAATTTGGTTTCACTAATTCCTAGAGCATCGCATACGCGTTGTTGTACAGACATTACCGATTTTAAAGGACCGCCATTTTCTTTTTCATCCGTAAAATACTTATGTACACTACAAATTAGACTATCTACATCTAACACTCGTCTAGGCATTTTTAAAATTTCCACTAAATTTACAATATACATACAATGTCAACACTTGCAAAGAATCAATTCAACTGCAATATTTGTAACAAATTTAGTACCTACCCTAATGTTATTTTAATTTAAATCTAACCATTAGGGCAATTTTACCTAATTTCTTGGGATGAGGCTTATTGGAACTGGTTTTCAATGACTAATTTGCATAATTTTGTTAATCCGAAACCCGCGTAAGTATAGCGAACAGACTGTAATACTAAGGACTCTCAAGTTGGTTAGTTCCTTAGGGTTCTGTGTTGACTTCCATTTTATTCATTTTTTATATAAATGACTTAGCTCAACTTAAGATTGCGAGTATTTTCACAATTCACAATTTTATGGCACAACAATGAGCCCTGCCTTCTTTATAACACCATATCTTGTGCCACTGAAAATCAGTGAAATCAAAGCATGGTGGGACGCCAACTATGTATGTCTAAATATGAAAAAAAAAATAGTACCTCTTATAGAAAGTCATAATATTGATACAATAAAACTTCTGAGACAGAGGCCCAGAGCTTAGCAGGTTCACTATTGGGTATCGATATCTGCAATTCAGCAGTTGCGCGCAGTTAGTACTTGGATGTGTGACTTTTTAAGGAAAAATTGGCGTATCTATAAAAGCCCATTAAATATCCGGTCACGTGCCTGAAATCACTACACCGGAATTAGCAAAACTAGATGACAGAAAATCCTTGCAAAGGGATTTTTTGACGTCTAGAAGCATATACTCGTATTTCAGTGTCAGCAAAAAACAAAAAATGCATCGATTAGACAGTTTACTTGGAATTTCACAGCTCGTATAACCGCTCTCGGGACATAGTACATGTTGTTAATCTTCCTCATCTTTACTCATCTACAAAGAGCAAGCAAAAAACACGATATGCCACTTTTTGCAGCCGAGGGACTAATTATTGTCCATAAGTACTTATTGAATCTGATTGTGGGAAAATATTTTCGATTGGCTGACACAAAATGCATTCATGGGAATGTCCGGTTACGTAGATGCTAAATTAATTAGAAATTACCAGAAATTACACACTTATTAGCACTTTTGTGTTGGATTAAATACCTCAGGTCAAACACCATAGGTACAGAATGGAATAACTTAGGAAAATAATGGCTTTCTGCTTTCTGATTAGCCAAATGTAATTATTGGCCCAAATATTCCATTTATCTTTTTGGAGCTTTAAATAGATGAGGTTTTTGTCATTTATTATAACCTAAAGTCTTGACATTTAATTTGTAAATTTATCAATAACTTCAAACCAAATTCCAGTACTTACCAAACACAATGCATATTTACAATGAACAAATAAGTGGTGAGTGCCAATTAATTTGTAATTTTTAATAATAAATCAAAGAATTAAATAACTTATTAATGATCTTGAGTAACTCAGGTGTCACTTTTTTTTTAATCAAATCAATATACTTAAACACTTTAAAATGCTAATTATTGAGAACAATTTGAATTTTTGTATCTTCTTCTCTAGCTCCTCGACCTTCTCCAAACCTAAATTTTTATATACCACCACTATTTAAATTTAATTTTTTTTTTTCATTTTTTAGACACTCACGTAAACATACCAAACATACCCGACATACCCGACAAACCTGAACATCCAAAATTAACCGAAATATTACAGGTGAGTACCTACCAATTAAATCATTTCTTTAGATGGATTTTATATTACATTCACTTTTACTTCCAATTAAGGGCGGCTTTAGGGCCGTGGGGGCCATGGGGGCCGTGGGGGCCATGGGTGCCATGGTGGTAATAAATTAAATTTTGGTTTTAACGCGGTTGGGTAGCGGTAATGTTAACGGACGCCGCAGATGTTATAGTGACGATCTATAGCGACTTATACATATATAAATGATCAAATCGTTTGCATATGGGTGAGGTTTTCCTCACGTGTAAGTCAAATGGCGCCATCAATCATCTGTAAGTTGCCCCTGAGTGCAACGGCAAATAATAATAGGCGTGTCCCATCCACGCACAAGCTCAGTCGGCTTCTGGGGTTAACATTGGCTGCGTTCATCCGCGCCACATGCTACCTGATCGATCTGGTAGCGCTCTCGAGTGGCACGTATGAACGGTGTATTTTGACATTTCGCTCAAGGAGCGGCCGCCATTAAAAGTAGCGCATTTTATTTACGTCTGATCGGTGATCACTGATCTGTCTTACGCACTTACGTCCACGGTTTGCTTGGTGATTAGTAGGGTTATATTAGCATATTAGCAATTGAAAAATAAACAAACAAATCTTCAACCAGAGACATTCAACTCAAAAGTAAAATGAATAAACCAAAATCAAATGTCACTTTTAAACATGGTTCATCCGTGCATAAAGATCGATCAGGTAGCGTAAGTGATCGCTACTTTTGTAGCGCTCCTTGAAATGGCGCGGATGAACGCAGCCATTCACTCGCAAGAGAGTGAATTATAGGGAGAACATTATTATTATAAGTGTATTACATGTTTTGTTTGATCTATAGTAGATACTTGCCGAGGGTTCACGGAAAGTCTATCCTCATGGAGATTATTTAAAAATTGGTTTAATGTTATTATTAATAATAATAATTATTGATTCGTTTTCTAAACCAAAGAATGACTATTGATAAACAAAGACTCAGTGACCTATATCTGATAATACTCTCTAATTTACCCCCTTACGAGTGAATTTTAACCCTAAAAGGTGAGCTTGTTCGGGGAAGGGACGACTATTATTATTATTTGACGTGGCGCTTCGGGGCGACTTTAAGACGATTGATGGTGCCATTTGACTAACAGATGAGGAAAACCCCATCCACCATCATCAAAACGGTAAAGCATGGCGATTTCATTATTTTTAACATTTTCTTCAATACATTTATTTATTTTTTGAAATTCGGCCCATTTCAAACTACAAATAAAGTTTAAACACCGACGCTGGTGTTGCGAATCAGATTTATGTTGTAGTTTTTGTTATACCCTGTATTATTGTTTTTTAGTAAAAAATTATGACTTGATGATTGTGACTTTTACAAAAAAAAAATAGATTGTCATTAAAAGAAATATTTTCCTAAAAAGATTTTTAGTCCTTTTATTGAAGCTTTTTCGACATTTGTGGCGACTGTGACAAGACTGTTTTTATTTCCATGGAATTTTCTTTGCTTATCATGGAAAGGGCTAAGAAATCAAGGAAAGTTATCATAGCTTCTTTTACCAAGCAGTCTAATATTATTAACGAAACCATTGCCTATAGTTGAGACAAGAGCCTTGATGAAGCTTTTTCCACATTTGGGGAGGGTCCTTACTAGCTAGCTATAGCTTGATTCAGATCGTTGGCCTATTGTATATCATACTTGGGATGAACAAGAAATTGAAAACGAAAAGAAGAAAGTAATTTCATCTTGTATAGTGGGAATAGATTCGCTTCATAATTTTTATAAATACTTTTCAAAGTTTTCTAAGGTTGTCAGGATGTTAGCTTGGATGAACTGTAGAAACCCAGTGGACAAACACAGTGGCAATTTAATTATTGAGGAAGTAAAGGATCCTGAGATGTTATTGTTTAAGATTGCTCAAATGGAGTATGGTGGTATTTCAGATAGTACTGTTACTTTTTTATATCCAGTTACAGACGATGTAGGGGTCATCAGGATAAGAACAGAGGTATAACAGAGAGAAGACACTCTACATTTTAGATATTCGATACTCCTTTCAGGAAAACACCCTGTGGTTAAAAAACTTATTAGATATGAACACAAGAAAGCTTCTCATGCTGGTGTACAGGTTCTTTTGGGATCAATTAGAGAACGGTTTTGGATTTTGAAGGATCAAAGCTGTTGTTTCCAAATGTGTGATTTGCAAAAGATTTTCCACTAAAAGAATAGAAGCGGCACCAGTTGCTCTTTCTGTAGACAGAGTTAGAGACGCTGCAGCCTTTGAAGTGGTTGGAGTAGACCTTGCTGGTCCATTTTATCTTAAGACGGAACAGAAGGCTTGGGTAGCTTTGTATACGTGTGGCGTTTACAGAGCTGTCCATTTGGAATTATTGTCGTCTCTTTCAACAGAAGTTTTTAATAAAAGCTTAAGACGTTTTATCGCTAGAAGGGTTAGGCCAAAGATTATTTTTAGCGATAATGGTTCGAATTTCTTAGGGGCGAACAATGCTTTTAGTAAAATTGGGACGTAATTTTTAGACACAATGCAATACAACAAATTATATGGAAGTTAACCCAGCCACAACCGCATGGTGGGGTAGTTAGTGGAAAAGACTTGTAAAGCTGCTAGAATTGTTTCGTAGGACTTTAGGGAAAGCGTCTTTACATATGAAGGAGTTGTGAACGTTTTTATGTGATTCCGTAGCTGTTATTAATATCCGTCCTATTTCGTACGTATTGAAGACCGTGGAAGATTTAGAGTCATTGACACCAGCAATGTTTATACAGAATATTAAAGAGACTGGTTTACCTGACTGTGATAAGGTAGATGCGGTTTATTTTTCTAGGAAAACCAATTATCGCAGGAGGCTAATTGAAAATTTGAGAAAAAGATTTCGTATAGAGTATTTAGGAGAACTGAGACAAAGGAATAACCACATCAATGTGAGACAGTTGAAGTTAGGAGAGTTAGTTCTTATAGGGAATGACTTTACTAAACGTTTAGATTGGCCTTTGGCTCATATAACAGAACTACTTCATGGTGCAGATGGCAAAGTAAGTTCAGTTCTTCTTAAAACTAAATCCGGCCAGCTTTTAACACCAGTTCAGAGAGTTTACCGCTGTTTATAATTGTGGTTAATGCGTACCATCTTTTGCTGTAGTAACACATTCCGGTATCTCACAATTATTAAGTTTTTCATAAGGAATAATTATATCGCCGTTTTGTATAGAGGTCCTTATTTTAATTATTTGCTGAGTTCTAGGTTCAATTGAAACTGTGTTATTATAGTTATTTAGAAGCTCCTATCTTATGATAATGAAGTGGAATATTTGCAAATGGTGTAACAATACGTCCTTGTTGAAAAATCATATTTGCTTGCAATAACTTAATATTATCTATGCCTATTAAGCCATCAATTACATTGTGGAACTTAAATAAAAAGAATTTTAATTTTTCATTATTATTAAGATTAAACATTTTAGAAGCATTTATATTTACACTATGTTTATGTGCTGATTTTTGGAAAACTAGTCAATACAAATGGTTCATCAATTATATCATTTGGGTAAAATCGTTCAGCTACTTCAGGGTTAATGAATGATTTTGAGGATCCTGTGTCCACCAACATTTTTAAATTGTGCTCAGGGAAAATTATATAGGGTAATTCACTTAAATCCGCACAATTTATTGAAATGTGTACGGGATTTTGTTGCGAGTTATTTTGTTTTTACCGAAAATTTTGGAATTTGACCTTTATTATCATTAACCTCTTCAGAATTATTATATTGACTTACAGGGTTTTCAACCAATGAATTATATATAGGTTCTGTTTGAGAGTTAAATAGTTCTTCGGAGATAAAATTTGGTGACTGACTCGCCGAATTTCTAAAATAATTCGAAGGTCCTGGTCTCGAATAATTTTGTGCAGTATTTCTAGTTGATACTGACATAGATGTAGGGTTTGGTAAATTTGTTTTTTGATTTGGTTTAAATACATTTGTATTCTTATTTTGATAATTCTGTCCGAAAACTTGGGCATTAGTTGGGTAATAACGTTGTATGGGTCTTGAATTTACATTAAAATGTTGAGACGGAAAATTATTTCCTTGTTTGTAGAAAAAATCATTAGGTGTGTTAAAATTATTTGAAAAATTTCTATATTGATTCGGTGGAACATAAATATTGTTATTATATTGGAAATTTGATCTTTGAATGGGATTTGGTCTTGAAAAATTTCTGAATGTATTTTGTCAAGAATTTTGCAAATAATGAGCATTACCTTCTTCCAAAACCAATTGCAAAGCCTCACTAAGTGTGGTTGGCTTCATGCATCTTATTGTTGTCCCTAAGGGTTCTTTTATTCCTGAAAAAATGTTTTTAAAGTTAAATTTTGATATAATTCTCGTTTCAAAATTTTTTGCTGCGTTTGTTACTTCGTGTATATTAACATAACTACATAATACATTTAATATATGTAAACATCTGTCATAATAATCAGAGAAATTTCTAGTTAAAGTATTTTTTAAATCGTTCCAATTTGCACAATTTTGAATATTAACTACTGTTTTTGCATTATCCCTTAATTTTGAAATAATTGAATTCTTAAAAATATGTATTTTGAAAATTTTCTGGATGTTCTCTATCATAAAATTGTGTGAGTAAAGATTCACTCACTGCTAAAAATCTACTTAAATCATTAGGATTACCATCTAATTCAGGTAAACAATTAAGAAATTCAGGTTTGAAAGCCATATTTAATTCTTGTAAATTATTGGTTCCTTGTAAATTATTTGTTACTTCTTGTTCTTGTAAATTATTGGTTACTACTTGTAAATTATTTGTTACTTGTAATTTATTTGTTACTTCTTGTAAATTAGTTGCTACTACTGTTGGATTAGTATCTGAATCTGAATCAAGATTAGTTTTGAATCGATTTTTAATTGCAATAAACGTTTCTCTAATTCGTCAAAAGTAAAATCAGCCATAAATTGTACT